GTCCTAAGGACAAGATAGTACATAAAGCAGCTACAACCACTCACCCTCAGCCCAGACACTCAGCTACCCCAAATTGCCAAACCACTTATGCCTCAATAGCGTCCAAGTATTACCCTAGCGGCCCCTATAAAATACCTAAAAATGATCCTCCCAGGAATAACGCTAACAGCTACAGACTCTCAGACACCGCTGTACGAAATAATACCAAACTCTCCGTAAAAACTCACCAATACTCCAGCACCCCTAACCCAAAACATGCACCTTCTCATAGCAATAGAATGCCCTACAACAAACATAGTGAACTGGCAACACCCACTCATCCTAATGTGAAACGACACTCGACAAGAACCACGCCCACACGTGATACCCATAAGTCATATAGTGTCAACCTTGTAAGCCCCATGAACCAACACAAAACTATACACGACAGAAACACCTCTCTTGACAACAATAACAGGCATTCCTTACCAGAAACATACAACCTCCCCAACTAACCACAATAGGACTAAAATTGCCCATCGCACACGAGGAAGCCATAACGTTGGCCTACTCGGGAACCCACCTACTGATTCTAGGTACTATCTAAGTCAAGCCACCCAATAAAACGGTTTAGTCCCCCCTAATTCGACATACACATTATCTCTCTCCCCCTCAACATTACTGCTATGGGGTCTCCAAATGTTGAGGGCGACAATCTCACTATTCTGAAACCATCTATATACTCCGATTTAATGGGGAGTGGCACATCCTACTCAACTTCGATAACCGTCTCTAGTCTTGAAAACTCCTTGACTGAACCCCCTGATCATTCCCCGGACACATTACCTAACCATTCAACTCTACCCTCCACTCTTAGACATACTTCTTTCATCAAAACCACACCCGACTACCCTTCTTGTATTAACCCTACTGGTAATAAACTAAACACTCATCAGTATGGAGTCAACGCTCCCAATTCTTCCTTTTCTCATGGCAAAACAGACAAACCACTCGGTTTACATCATACCCTTCTACTAGACAAACAGTCACCGTACCTGACACTTATGTTAATCAACGCTAGATCTGTACAAAGTAAGATGACTTACCTACGCACCCTATTACTTCTAAACAACCCCTCACTTGTTTTGATAACGGAAAGTTGGCTGCCCTCCGATACCACAGACACATATCTACAAATAGACACTATGAGCTCTTCCGCTGTGATCGAGTCACCAAGAAGGGTGGTGGTTGTCTCGTTTATGTATCAAAAAATTTGAGAGGAACTATAGCGACCACGTCCTCAACAAACTTCCTGAATCGATATGGCTTACTGTGCACACTCATGAGTGTAAAATACTAATCGGATGCATATATCGAGCTCCTAACACTCCTAGTTCAACTGACACTATTATAAGTTAGTCATTTGCTCAGGCTGCCTCGCTTGACTTCACTTACAAAATTGTATGTGGTGACTTCAACCTTCCCACCATCAACTGGAAAACACATTCTGGCCCATTGTGCTTTGAAAGCATACTTAGGTCCTTAGACATACACGGCTGGCAACAACATGTACACCTGCCTACACGAAATCACAACATTCTTGACTTGATATTCTGTCATAATGTCACACCAACATCAATGGTGGTTGGCGAAAAGTTTCACAACAGCGATCATAAAATAGTCCTCTGCACCCTTCCGATTCTTGCCATATGCAACAAATTAAAGACATTAAAAACGCGATTCCAATATAGAGACTATGCAAACGCTGACTGGGAAAACTTTCGATTTCTAATAAAGCACTCTGACTGGGGCAGTTTCTTTACCAGTAATAACCTCTTAGAAACATTAGAAATATTCAATATCACCACCAAATCTGCACTAGACACTACTATACCCTCTAAAATTGGTTTTAAAACAGTTACTCCCTATATAAACCAAAAGACTAGGTCTAAACTGCGAAAACTGAAAAGGATGTACTATATATCAAAAGACTTCAGTGCCCTGCACCAGATATACTCCGTACTTGACGGAGTACAAAGTCAACACAACAAGCATAAACAGGTAGAGGAACGTACTGCGCTCGCTGCTGCATCTAAAGCCCAAGCCCTATGTCGTCTCTTCACGAAACGCATAAGAAAGAACACAGACCACAACATTCACTCCATACTGCACGATGGAGTAACGTATAATGACCAAACCGTCATATGTGAACTATTAAGTGAATGGTTTTCTCACAATGGGAATACATCTGATGCTCCAGATATCGACATAAAGTGCACCGGCAAAAACTATCTTAGTACCATAAACTTCGACATTAGGAGTATACATACCGCCATTAAAACCCTTAAGTCAAATGCGAGTTCTGGTGCCGATGACATCCCTTCAATCGTTTATAAAATGTCAGGGCCGGACATACAGACGCTACTACTCAAAATATACACATTATCTTTAGAGACAGGTACATATCCGGAAACCTGGAAGGTAACGTATGTTCTTCTCAAACACAAATCCGGACCAAGAAACCTGGTTGAAAACTACAGACCTATAAATATCACTCCAGTCAGATCACGCATAATAATACAAAATCAACTATCTGATCACCTACTCAAGGAAGATCTAATAGACCCGTTACAACACGGCTTCATTAGAACAAGGTCGTGCAGTACATGCCTGATAGACTTCTTTAACAAGGTTACTCGTATAAGTGACCAGAAGAAACTAGTTATTATACTATACTTCGATATTAAGAAAGCCTTTGATAAAGTACCTCATAATCTTCTAATCAACAGACTGAAGTCAGTTGGAATTATAAATCCCCTTTTGCAATGGATCAAGTCTTTTCTTACGAACAGATATCAAATAACCAAGATTAACTCTAATACATCTACACCTCGACCAATAACCAGTGGTGTTGTGCAGGGTAGTGTCTTGGGTCCATTGCTCTTTATAATCTACATCAACAATATATGCAAGTGTTTTAGCACAGGTAAGACCTACCTCTATCCCGATGACTTAAAAGTCATCTATAAAACTGACATTTGCGATTTACGCAGTACTATGCAAACAATCCAACATGAACTCAACATGGTAGATGACTGGTGCAAACGCTGGAGGTTAGAGCTCAACATAGAGAAATGCGGCTGGTTATGTATAGGAGACACGTCTCTTAAAATGAAACTAACATTTAGTTATCACACACTGCCCAGACTGGCATCAGTAACTGACCTAGGGGTACATTACTCACACAGTCTTAATTTCTCTGAACACATCTCAGCCAAAGCATCCAAAATGCGGAAATTGCTTGGCTTCATTCTCCGTAATTTCTATCAAAATGAATCTAGAATCCTTCTTTACAAAGTTTGTGTAAGACCTATCGTTGAATACTGCTCGTTCTTATTTTCCAACCTACGCCTATCTGATATACTAAAGGTGGAAGGAATACAACGAGACTTCACCCGCAAAGTACTTAAGACTGACTCGGTCATTGACTACAGTTCTCGATGCCAAATCTTAGGAATAGCACCCCTTTGGGAGAGAAGGCTTAGGTCTAATTTGATTCTCTACTTCAAACTACTCAAAAACCTTACTTATTCAACATGTAAGATAGTTCTTGCACGAGATTCACATGAACACGAACTCGAAACAAAGTATCTACCGTCAAAGTTGAAGAATACAGATCAAAAACTCGAGAAAACTTCTTCCTAATCAAGCATGCAATAATATGGAACAGTCTTCCGTCCGAAATACACATGGCACATGAATTACATACGTTTGTAAGACTGCTTGATCAAGTCCTCACTTGCACGGACGAACACATCTGCGTCCCACTCAGACATAATAGGCTCTCTCCATGTCTAGACCAAAATGGACTTCAAGTTCAGTTTGCCTTATTTTTCTTAGTTTATACTATAGTCAATTGAAGCACTGCATCGATGCTTTACCCACACTCCATAGCTTGTAACTGTCTGATAAGCTTGTAAAATGGTACTTATAGAAATAGTGCTTTCCAACAGGTTGTGAAACAGAGGATTGTGTGAGGTATGACGTAAATACAAAAATAAGCCTAAATGAGCCTAACATCACAAAAGGACGGAGGGTGGAGCTACTGACCAGCAAGCATTGATGGTGAGGGCGATAACTTCAATCCACCCGTGTTTGTGGGGACAGAACATTTTGTATGTATCAGGCTCCTCATGATTGAGAATAAGTCAACCAATCTGTAATATAGATTGTCTTCCTACGCTCACCACTCAGAATCATGTTTCCAATATTATGCTGGATTAGCTATTCTACTAAGACAACCTATAACATGTTAACTCGGACTTTTACACTGGGATTGTGTGGCTGGCATCGGATAGAAAAAAAAGATAACAAGAGATATAGTCATTAGTATTCCTAACACTTCACCCTCCATATACACACCCTTCTAATAAACCGCTTCCCTTGTACCAACCTTGACTTCCCTTCCTTCATGTGAGCTTACTCCAACTTGTTAAACATCATAACTCGTTGTTCTTTATTAGTACATTCTCTAATATGGAGCCTCTGACTTCATTTCACTCTAACAAGACAATATGAATTTATTCTAATTTATCATACCTCTGTCCGTTCTACTTCACAATGTTAAGCAACCTTTGGCGTTCATATCCAAGTGCCTTGCTGCTCTTCAGTTTCTCTTTTTTTCTTCTTCAGAATCTTGCTCTGAGAGCACAGCTATGAAACTTCTGACGGGCAAGGTTTAAACGTTAGGTCCTTTTGAAATGTGCCCGCCCTTTCGTTTCAACGACCTTGAACGGCTTGACTAGATGCGGTCATTCCGTATTTCAATTGCCGTGGGTTGGTTGGATTGCATGAGTACCAAGTTTTTTCATATATAAGTCATGTTATGCTACATAAAAAAGCACGAAATAAATACCAAAACCATTAATTTAGCGTTCTCTGTTTTGTAGTGTACACGTTGGCTCTGTTGTTGCTTTGTAATTTGATCTTTGATCCCAACAACTGTAGTAAAGCTCAACGAAATGTCAAGTCACAGGTAAATCCTAAGTATTTGTAGTATTTTCTTGGGTTATTATTGTCGCAAGGAATAACCTTTTAATAATTAGTCATTTCTGTTTTTAGTGCTTCATGCTCAAGTGACATTTCAGTCGACCTAACCGATGCCTTTCGAAGTATGATACTGAACAAGCGTTTCGTCTTGTGGGATGATTTTGAAAGCGCCTTAAAAGAGTTCCAAAAAGTATGGAATTATAATTTTATCGCTTCTCAGACTACATATACTCGTTACATCCACACAGAGAGCAGATTGCTGAAGGATGTCAGGTTCAAATACCTGTTTGTATCGTTTAATTGTACGTTTGGTCATAAGAGGAAATCGGAAGGTTTGAAAGTGAGGCAAAAATCGTAAGATCTGTAACTAATATCTAAATTGTTATACGAACTTAAGCAAATGCGTTTTGTCTACGTGGAATATGAAAGCGGTGATTGGTTGTTTATGGTTGATCGCGGACAACATTATGAAGTTGATATAAGCATTTGTCAATGCAATTGTAGCACGTTTATGATGTGCCGATATCCCTGCCGTCACATGCTACTTGCATACGTTAAAAGACGAAATCTTACAGGTAAGCTATATCAATTATGAAATACTAACTGCATAGCTCATCAACTTCTTAGGTATTGTAGCAGATGGAAGTTACATAATACCCAGAACTTCCAAAATTATACATTAACTGGATTAACACGACGGAGTGAAGTGTATATAAGTATTCAACGAAGTCAAAGAATCCATAAGCAACGCATCATTGAGAAGTATGGTGAACGTTTTGCAACGGAAGTTGAGAAGAAGGTGGACAATTATTACTTAAGAATTCTTAATACCAACTTGTAAACTTGATTTTTTGCTTTAGCATCAATGATTATTCAATAAACTGTCATAATTTTTATTTTCATCTTATTCCTAGTTTCATGGGAATAAATAGCAATGACGTTCATGTGTAACTGTTTGTAATAATTAAGAATGATTCAGAAACCCTACATCCACGTACAATCTTGCAGATTAGGCACCCACATATCATATTCACCTTCGTCGGATTACGTTTATAATTAAAATCGTATCAGTAGCTAAGATTTTAATTCCATGTGATTAGTTCCGCTTATGAATTAAAATGAAACCAGGATAAATGTTGATTAACAGTGGTATGCATTCGTTATAACTAAATATGCATTAGGATTTAACAGTGATGTGGGAAACAGTTGACATACCTTAATATGAATAATTGAAATGACGTGGGTTATCAATAATGACTAGATATATATATATATATGCAGTTTAAGGTCAAAGGTCATTTGTTTTTACAGTCAATAACACATTAAGAATGGGTGGTGTAATAGTTGACTGGAGTTCACAGACAGATAAGTGGTGTGAAAATCTTATGGCCTATAAGTGATCCGTGGATTTAAGAACTGAAAACTTGGGTCACGTAATAACTTATTACAATTTGAAGAGGTCACATAATTACAGAGGATTAAGTGAGCAGATGTAAGTGACAGGGTGCTGGAATAAATCGGCAACTAAATTTTAAAAGTGAAATGAATTAATACATAATCCATCTTATTACTTGTTCACTCCATGGATTATAAGGAGTTCATATTATTCTATATCTATATTTGTTCTAGCGTCATATCGACTATTAATAAAGACGGACACGGTTTATAAAGTAAGACAATAAGTGTAGTTGCTATATTTATATTTCACTAATTCATTAGTTGAATAAAAATGTTACTAGGCAATACGGAACACAGTTAACGTGAACATGTAAACCGTTTTTTAACAAATTCTGTAAGTTGTAGACCGGCGTAAACATCACAAACCTTTGACGACTTTATTGGATTCATACAATTCTGAAAAACAAACAAATCAGTTGTGAAATAAAGAATTAGACCCAGTTATAAGTATCACATTCAATAAGTACATCAAATAGCAGGTTACAGAATGTACCTATAAGTCTCTTATTTGCAGACAGCGCTAATCATTAGAGATTTCTATTTCCTTTAATAATAATTAATAGGTAATCTTTACAACACACAAATCAATGTTATTTAAAAATTGGCATAAACGAGATATGAATACAAGGAACTTGTGATTCTGCTTCCATTGCTCATTCACTTTTCGTCCCGTTGTCTGCATGAATTACTTCGGACGAGTCAGTCTGTAATACAGTAGGAATTCATTAATTAACTCATGAATAGTTGTTTTTTATTCAAGTCTGTGTCGTAACAAGCACTGGAAATTTATTCAGTGTCTAACCCTTGTATTATTTCGTACATACATCTGGTATTAGCAAGAAAAATTGGTAAGTACCATTTAGATATTACTCGACAATATGCATCATAAGTTTGTTCACATTTTCGTCTGAGACTGTGCATTTCGTTTACAGAAAATTATTCGTCAACGCTATAACAGACACATCATGAATCAATATTAGGTACGACATGGTTTTGTCACCATGCTCAGAAGAGACAGCCATCGTTTCACTTATGAAGATTTTGTGCCTATTTAATGTGGTGTTATACACTGTTCCTGTATACGTTCAGAAAGCCGGTAAAAAAGACTATCAACATCAATTCTTACTCACATAATTTTTCTCTGATACGTTACACAATAATATGTCACTTCAATACCAAACAATGCTACCTTTAGTGCAAATAACCTTTTATGGCTAAATACAAACAATTTATATAATATCCATAGTTAGTTTAATGCTTACTTCTTTCTGATAACATCTTATAAACGACTGCGAACATCTATGTTTGCTGTCACCATAATCAAGGAGGTGAACCATATATAATGCTTTTCACGGCTTATTTTCATGAAAAGTCAATCTGTTTTCTATTTTTCACTAGAAAAATGGTGATTTGACTTGTTTGACCTTGTATTATTAAAAAATAACCATATTACGCCAACTGCATGTTTACTTAGGTGGTGAGCACAAAATACGTCAAACTGCTTATAAATTGAAATAAATACTATCTTCCAATCACAAAGATTACGAGAAGTCACGTATGATGGAAAAAAGGCTGTTAATAGCTGATAAATAACGAAACATAAAATCCACGACAATATGTTACATGTGCGCGAAAACCCGTAAACTAACACGCATAGTGTGCCTTCTGACGTTTGGAGGAAACTTGACGTACGCGCCCTCTCAAGGTCATAGTTTACAGCAAGCGCTCTACGATTACACTTTATAACAACTGTAAACTTAATAAGTTGGGAAGCATCCATCGACGTCTTGGACGATGGGCAGAATTTTTCGAAGGGCAGTTCAACTGGCCTGCTGCTCCGGCAACATCAGTCAGACTGTCCTGCCCTCCATGGCCGGTGACGACTGATCCACAAAATGAGGAGGAAGTCCGCAAGGAACTCCAACTCTTGAAGCGTTACAAATCACCTGGCCCAGATGACTTACCTCCGGCTCTTTTTAAAGATGGTGGTAACTTTTTGACTAAGGAATTGACGACGTTGTTTACCAAGGTTTGGGAACTAGAGAGTGTACCAACGTCATGGAATGAGTCGATAGTTGTCCCTATCTTTAAAAAGGGTTCACGTCGTTCCTGTAACAACTATCGGGGGATAAGTTTACTTCCGATTGCGTCCAAGCTATTGGCTTCCGTCATTCTTCGTAGGTTGTTGAAAACCCGAGAAAGATTGACTCGCGAGGAGCAGGCTGGGTTTCGTTCTGGTCGAGGATGTATTGATCATATCTTCACCCTCCGCCAAATGTTAGAACACCGCCATACTTTTCAAAGGCCAATAATCGTAGTGTTTCTTGACATCAGGGCTGCCTTCGATTCGTTGGATAGGACTGTTCTCTGGGATTGTCTATTGAAGAAGGGTGTGCCTGAGAAGTTTATTAACATCCTGAAAGCCCTATATAAAAACACCTCAGGCAGAGTGAGGGCATCCAACCACCTCTCTCCATTGTTCCATTCGAGCAGTGGGGTTAGGCAGGGTTGCCCAATCTCTCCATTCCTCTTCAACTTTGCCATCGATGACATTCTGGAAACAGCTCTGATGAATGTAAGTAATGGTGGTGTGGATCTGATGCCTGGAGAAAGACTTCTCGACCTTGAGTATGCGGACGATATTGTCTTACTGTGCGATAATGCCCAAGCCATGCAATCCGCACTTAATCAGTTGGCGATCAGTGTCCGTAGGTATGGTATGTGCTTTGCACCTTCGAAGTGCAAAGTACTTCTACAAGACTGGCAGGATTCTAATCCTGTACTCACCCTGGATGGTGAGCAGATGGACGTAGTTGAGAAGTTCGTGTATCTGGGTAGCTGCATAAGTGCTGGTGGGGGTGTGAGTGATGAGATCAATGCACGAATAGTGAAAGCCAGAGCGGCTTATGCCAATCTGGGCCACCTTTGGCGCCTTCGTGATGTTAGTCTGGCTGTAAAAGGCCGGATCTACAACACGTCGGTGAGAGCAGTTTTGCTCTATGCTTGTGAAACCTGGCCTCTCCGAGTTGAGGACGTTAGACGACTCTCTGTGTTTGATCATCGCTGTCTCCGAAGGATTGCTGACATTCAGTGGCAACACCATGTCAGTAATGCAGTGGTTCGGCATCGTGTGTTCGGGCACAGAGACGATAATGCAATTGGTGTCACCATCTTGAAACACCGACTTCGGTGGCTTGGACATGTTCTACGAATGTCGTCCCAGAGAATTCCACGTCGTGCATTATTTGCCGACTCTGAAACTGGTTGGAAGAAGCAGAGAGGTGGTCAGTGCATGACATGGTGTCGTGGCATGAAAGAAAGCTGCAAAGGACTGGCTTGTGTTGGTCCTTCACGACTCCCTGGTTGGGGTCTGAGAGATGGTGCTACACAGTGGCTAGAGACGTTATCAGATATGGCTCAGAATAGAAGCCAGTGGCGATCCTGCTGTAACCTTCTTTTACTTTCTTCATAAAAAGTGGTTGTGTCTCCTCTACCTGAAAGATTTCTTCTAATTGTACCTTTTCGTTCCGTCGTTACTACCACACTACCTTACTCCAATCTCTTCGTCATTAATCGCTTTTCTTTTGCGCCCCTTAGTTTTTTTCCTACTTCTCTTCGAATTCTCATTGTTTTGTGCGGAGCATATATATTGGCGCTCTCTTGTACCAATATTCATGTGTTCAAATAAATATATATGGAATATAACGCTTATACAAAATAAGGAAGTGAATGAATACTTGAACAATACTGTTTTGGCATATGCTTGGTTGTTTGGGGTCATTTCTTAACCAACCAACCTAAGCTGTTACAAATCTACTGAATTGTGGTTTAATAAAGATTTGAATCATGGTAACTACCGCTTCTTTTACAGATAAATGACTA